TAACACTGCCAAAGTGGCTGAAAATGTATTTTTCTTTTAACTAGAAAACTTCTTTAAATTCCCAAACTCGATTCTTATTTTAGTGTTCACGGTGTCACTACCAGTCTCGTCATCCCCAACATCATCCTCTTTGAGATAAGCTCCTGGAGCTTCTTCCTCTTCACTTCCCTCGATGGCTCTTGCCGGTGCAAAACCTAAGAATAATGATGGCCACCTTATTCTGTTCTTACTCACAGTAGTCAAGGACAATTACCCATAAATGAAGAAATAGCCAGCACTATTTCAAAAGGTTGTTCAGTCACTGTTCAGCTCTTCAGTGAACGGGCAGAGTTGAGTGATAGCGTATTGAAAAGTCAGCAGACAACGACCTGAAAGAGTGTGAGGTATGTCTGCAGTAATAGTTCCTTGTCCTTGACTAACAACTTTGACAATGGAATAGGGATGTGACCGCGAGCGAATTTGAATCAAATCTCTGTGTTTTTTTCCTTAAGCCCCCTTGGAATAGAGCTATCGCGTAACATGATGAAGCAATAACCTCTACAGTTTAGGTCAGAGAGTATGATAATACTAGTCCGACAGCGAACATCCCCACCCTTATTTGAAATAAATATTCATTTCATCTCTGCCTTGCTTGGTCTCCACACAGCTCCCCCTGGTTCAGTGGTGTGTAAACAACTTCTACATGCGGTGATATTGGAAGAGGTCTCTCTGGGTTATGGTGTGTAACTGAGATAGAAATATATCATTACTGGGTGGGGACTGAGGGGATCTAAGGGACAAAGAGACTGAGAAATAAGAATATTGGATTCCGTTCCACACACACTAGCTTATGTCCTTACATGCAGGCTGTCTGCTCCATCTGTCTGTTTTGCTCGCGCAGACACACACACACACACACACACACATATACATAGATATACACACTCGCATTTAGCATAGGGTGTTTGTTAACTGCTTGCGAATGGGTGATGGACTGCTCCAGTGGCTCTGCCGGTAATATAATCTTCCCTATTCCCCCAGATCCCTCACCAATATGTCACAATTGTCATTTATTCCCAGCATGGTCGCCCACAATCAGATGGCTTTTCACATTGAACACACCCTGATCCTGTCAGGATGATGAACACTTCAAGTGCGCTCGCATACACCTACACATGCATACATACATTGTGTATTAACAGGCGCTGCCCTTTCTGTTTGCTTGCTTTTATGTTTATTTATTTTGCCATTTTGAAACATGGAGAGAAAGTCGGACCACCAGAGGGGTGGTGGTGGCTCGCGACTAGGCTGGTTTCATTCTACCCCCATTAAAATGCAACACACACTTTCACATACAATTACACACAGATAAACTCTTAATTGGTGTCACATATACCAAGGTAAACTGCCTGTGACTAGATAATAATTTACACCTTCTTATTACTACCAAAAAAAACTGGACCAATTAGTGGCAGAAACGCATTTGTGGTTTGACAAAGTAGAACTAAATGTGAAAATGTGTGTGTCAATCATCACATTGAAAACACACTTTTTCCTGAACCGAACACATCCTCAATATGTCTGACAAATGCATCACACTGAGCAATGAACTGCTAATTAAAAACAGACACCTACTTGTCAGGGAAGACAGGTTATTATTCAAAGGATCAACGTTTTCCTCACCTTTGAAACCAGGAGGCTTTTCGGCTTTTATACATACTTTTCTAAGTTATATTATTTATTCTGCTTTACTCTGCCTGGATCCAGTGTGTGAGATTAACAAAGCTCTTTTAGCATAAAGGATGTTCTGAGCAGGTCTGAATAAATGTGATGACACAGATTCATCCAGCAACTAATTAAAAAGAAAGATAAACATGATATCTGCTTAAAACTGTGTGGAAATCCAGCATTGATTCGGTCTTATCGGCTTTCTGATCTGGACCCTGGGAAACCCTAATGCCAGATAGCAGGCTGAGCTGTCTGGACTTAAGCTTGGGTAGAAAGGGTGTAATGGCAGACACTGAAAGAGCTTTTCAGGTGAATTCAGAGAGGGCCAAACACCACCTGCGATCGAAATTCTTGACGAGTCCAATAGTGGATCTGACAACTATCTTCAAATCTGACATTTGTATTAAGTCTCAAGGTTCTGCTTTCTGTTCTGGGACATTGTTACCAAGATTTCTTTTACAAGAAGAACATTTGTCATTCTTCTGTGTATATATGAATAAACACTGCATATATAAATATCCTTCCATCCATTATCTATACACCACTTAATCCTCACTAGGGTCGCAGGGGGCTGGAGCCTATCCCAGCTGACTTAGGGCGAAGGCAGGCGACACCCTGGAAAAGCTGTCCAGAGGAAACGATGGGGTGAGACCAGGCAAGTAGGTAGGTAGGTAGGTAGGTGGGTAGGTGGGTAGGTAGGTAGGTGAGACCTCACAGGCCCCCCAAACCCGGCACCCGGGCGGGTCCGGATGCAAACTACATACACACACCTGTATTTGTCTCGCTGGCACCAAGGCATATGCACAGCAGAATACACTTCTACAGAAGAACATGCCCTTTCTGGGTAAAGAAGCACAACCTTGTCACAGTGAATAATATGCTGATATAAAATTGTACAAGGCCCAAATTAAAGATAGTCGTGTGCCAAGTTGAGGAGAGAATTATAGCATCTGACCTTAATGAGAGCGCGTATCCTCCCGAGACTACCTTCACTTGAAGCCACCAAGGATGTCTCTGACTACCTGTTAACTTTCAGTGGTAAATTAAAAGAACATAATGTCCCTGCTACATTTTCATTTGCCTTACAGGGAGCTCTTCTCTCAGTAGTGGGCCACTGGGAAAAGTGATAATGGTCCGAGGAGACACAATAAACCGGTACAAAAAAACATACTCACTCTGCTAATTAGTGTACATTCTGCTTCTATATGCTTGTTCATCAGAAGGAAAACAAAAGCAATACAAAGTGGAGAGATAATCCACTATAATACATTACAAAACCAGTGAACAGTTGGATGAAAAAAACAACAATATGTGGCCTGGGGATTATGTTTTTTGCATAATCTAAAATAGCAGAAAGTAATAAGTATTACATTTTATTTTATTTCATCTTCATTTTACTGCATGATGTCAGCACGCTGGTTTAGTGCTGTTTGGGGAAAACACTCGGTTATTGAAAAGTATGTATATTACAGTAGGAATATGTGTCGCTACAGCTACGTAAAGTACTGCACATGAAAACACAGTGTACACAAATTTGGTTACAAGAATAAATGTGTGCCAGATAGATGACAGGCCTACTTATTGCTGCCTGTGACAGCAGAAAGAAAACTATTAATATGCATAGTCAATAAGAAAAAAAAAAATCATGCATCCTTTTGCAAAAATCAACTATTTTTGTGCTTTATTAAGCCTCTGTATGAGCAGGGAAATGAACTCTGTGAAGTCTGTGTGTTGTATATCCCGAATCCTTCTCCTGAAGCAAATTCTACTACCTTTAATTGGGCTTTTAGGATGTGCAACACCTGGCTGGTTGTTATTCTCATTACTGAGTTTCAGTGATCTGTTTGGTTATACAAAGATTCTGACAGTGTCTTTCCAAACATTTGCATTGTTTTTGGCAGTTTGAAAAAAATAAAATAAACCTGTGATTTTCGATCCAATCTTGCATTTAAATGAGAAAAAAAAGGGTGATTTGCATTTTGCTATCTGCCTTTTATCTGCCATTTGATACAAAACCGCATCTGTTTCTCTCTTTCTCAAAAACTTAATTCCATTATTTCATGTCCCAATCTCTATTTCTTCAGCAGTCTTTCCTCTTCTGTCTCTCTCTCTCTCTCTCTCTCTCTCGCTGTCTCGTTCAAACAATTACATAGCGGATGGTTCATCAAGTAGAACAGAGCAGGAGCAGGGTGGAAATGAGGTATGTAGTCCAGTCAGTGAGATTTAGAACAGCCCTCAGATAACAAGGGAGGTTAATGTATCGGTCTCAGGCCAGAGGACACATGCTGAATCTGCTCTATTAGAAACAACTTGTTCAGTACAAAAACACACTGTTGGGACATCCACTACAGCAGTTTCACGGTGCCAGTTTTATGACAAAGCCTTTCTGCCCATTTTAAATGCATTTTAAAACACAAATGAGTACTTTCTGCCACAGTTGTTCTCTGTTTGTTTATTACAAAGCGCAGTCTGAGCCATATTGAAATGTGAGAACCAATATCTTTTTTTTATTCTCTAGAGAGAAAATATTGTGAACCTAATTGAGTTGCTCCAAAGGGAAATTACAGTCAGGTATTAAAATATCAGTAAATCAGTAGACAGTTATTAACTGTTACTGTTATCAAGTGGAACCGTTAGAAGTGGTGTTTTGAAATTGTAAAAAGTAACTAAATTGGTTCACTGAGATAAATAAAAATCAAATTCACAACTTCAGGTTTTTTTTTTCTATTAGAAATGAATTGTGTTTTGTAATAGCTAAATCTTGACAATGTCAAAAAACAGACCAATTTTCAGAAAAAAAAAAAAAATTCTGGTTATAGAAAAAGTGATTGATTTATATAATCCCATCATATTTTCTCTAGTCACACTCAATAGATGTAAGGTTCAATTATAAACCTGCCATTTGCTGCTCATTTCAGGCAACTTTGTCCTTCCCTGCTGCTATCTACATGTTGCTGTGTTCATCTCTATGGGAAATAACCTCTGGGCGAGCAACCTACCACATGGTAAATTCCAAGTTGTCCCTGCTGCAAATGTTCCACCAAAACAATTCTACCTGTTTGGAGGGAGTGCTGAAGCTGCAGACTTCCCTTAGCTCCGCCCACGGCAACTGTGATTGGTTTAAATGCAAACAAGTCAGAGTGTTTTTTTCCTCCCTCTGTGTGGTGCAGTCAGACTACTATGTTCTACAGAATAGGCCGGCAGACCACATTTTCCCTTACAATTCTGAACCCCCTCCTGTCACTATGTCTGCATGACATTACACTGCAGATATAAACACAGATGTAACATACCTTTGACCTCCTTTTCATTCCTGAACCAGCGCAGGTCGGCGGCGGGCTTGCTGCCCTGAGTGATGCAGGTCAGAGTGATCTGGTCTCCCTCCATGGCAGGCTTTGTCAGGCCATCGATCTCTGGCTTCTCTGGCACACCTGAAAGATGTAATGGAAATCACAGTGATGGAACTAATTCACACACAGCAGTATGTCATTATGCAACAATAATATTATTATGCCTTATTGGAAATTCTCCTCCAGCTTTCCCACCTGCAGGGAGATTAGAGTGCAGACTACAAAGCTTCCTTGAGCAGGACACAGATCAGGGAAGATTGTTGTTGTCACATGGGTGGGTAGTTTTTCTAACCACTGGGTCACCCCCTTGCTTTTAAAGGTTGTCCGATTTACAAGAAACAAATTTCTCACTTACATCCAGTGGCACTTAGCCATGCGGATAGTTTTGATTTTATTTGTCCGGGTTATAAGATATCGGTCTCGGCTTCAACTTGAATGCAATAGGGTTGAATGGAGTTTTGTTTGTGATGTTCACAGAATTGAAAAATGACATTTAAAAAATTCAACAGCAATGTGTCCTCTGAGAACCAATGTCAAGGTTTCTCTGACAGACCTTAGTATTGACACTTTTCACTCCTATGGTCCCTGTGACAACAGAAAAAAACAACAAAAAACTAGTTATCATGGTGCAAAGTGCAAGCTAAAAAATATGTTTTTGTATTTGTGTGTGTGTTTGTGTACATGTGTTTAAGCAAAGGCTTGTGACAACAGAGGGGACCACGGTGTTGTCCAGAAAATGTTAATTACTGGCCTTTCCTATAATGAGTGTTTTAAGTGTGTAGTGTCTGCCCTTCTAATGTCAATGAGCAATAAGTCTGCCTCAGGCTGAGTGACTGAAAGGTCTGTCAGTCAATGCCATTGATTGGCTCTCGCCTTGTCTGTCTCACCACCTCTTGTAAGGTTTATTACCACAGTTAAAGGTCCCCCTTTTTTATGTTTACCATTTGTGTGAAGGCACAAACTGCATACATAATCAAAACAATAGCTGCTGCTTAGCATGGATGCACCATTAGGTGAGATCTGCCCGTCCTTCGCTGAAGTTAAATGCGACACAAGTCATTTTTAACATACATGCTTTTCTCTGAGCAAATTGGTTCCGTGGATAGTTTTAAGGAGTGTAAAGTACAAGTGTCACTACATCTAAGTACTGCGGTGTGTGTGTAAGTGTGTGAATGAGTAAGTGTGGCTTAACTCACAAAAAAAAATGTTTGATGGTTTTTCTGCCAGACTGAATAAGAGCAGATCAAATACAATGTTCATCTTATACAGTCACGTTCCCCTTGGGTGGCAAGAGGCTGCAAAGCTTAAACCTTCTCTGTGTGTGTATGTGTGTGTGTGAGCGATGTGGGTGTATGTGTTTCTCTGCTCATTTGTGCATCATGGATCGGTCTGCGCTATGGTGTGTTTGTGTGCGTGCGTGACTGCTTAAGCATGACCGAGAGCGTTTTCAAGACATGAGAAAGAGCTTGATTTTTGATGCATGTTGAAAAAACAAAGAAAAGTGGATTTCACTGATAATTCTAGAGGTCATTGTGATCACACTGCTTCATGTTAATGTACACATAAATATGCATTTTGTGTAAAGTTACAGTGAGAGCAGGCATCTTGACACGATGCTATATCGAGCCAAGGTCAATGTAAATTACTGATAATAAATGAACTTTTGTGCTGTTTTTTTTTTTTTTTTTTTTTTAAATATGTGTGAATCGAATGCTAAGCCTTTCACGTCATGCATTTTTAGCAAGGCTAGTGGCAAAGCTCTTGGGATGCGAGTGTGTGTGTGTGTGTTTACTGGTCGATGTGCTGCTTCGGTTCAGGCTGCAATATCAACTGGATCGATTTCTGTGAAATTTTGCACAGGTATTCATGGCTTACAGTAGATGAATTCTAGTGGCTCTGTGGATCCGTGGCTTTTCTACTGCACAATTGCAATGGAATTTATTACACACCCTCATATTCTGAACAGGATGTAACTTAACTTTTACCTCTCGCACCACCATCAAGTTGAAACTTTGACTTGTCCAAGATTTTTGTTTAATGACACCCCAAATGCTTTACAAATTATTTTTGCGGTAATAAAATGAGCACAAATGTACTGATGCACAAAAAAGATTTAAACATGAAGCTTGTGTGGTCATTTTTTAGAAAATTGGTACTTTGTCCAAATCATTCATTCAGTGTTTTCTTGTGTTCATTCCCAGCACTCACTGTCCTGAAACAGTGGCAGATAAACCAGGCCATTCCCAGACCATTTTGCACGTTTATTAAATCTCCCTCTCTGTTTCCTGGCTTGTGCCATTAACTATTGTTTAACATTGCAAAATAATTTTCTCCATATCCTTATTGAGCAGTAGCCTTTAATGTCTCTAATTCTCAGAATGCTTGTTAAACAGAGAGCCAGCAAATGGTCGTGGAGTGCACTAGCACATCTATTAACATTAGCAAAAACTAATTGGCAAGATAATAAGCCCGGTGGCAGGAAATGAGACAATGTTTGTGTGAGGCGATGATCACAGCAGAAACACGACTAAAGGAAAGGAGGTAATAACAGTATGTTTTTATTTGTCTGCAGATGCAGGCATGAGCAACAGGCTATTTCTAACTGTAGCAAATCACAACAAAATCCTAAATTGACTATTTGTGAACAAAAAAAAAAAAACACATTAGGACCAGATACCATGGCTACAACATTTCCTAGAGTTTTTATAAAATGATCAGTGTTGTGAAATTAACCCATACAGAAAGACAGATGTCACTAAATGATCAAATCAAGCAAAAAAAAAAAAACAAACAAAAAAATGTTCTTTTTGAAAATGTTTACAAACCAGTAGAGTATTCTTGGATATGCACAAAATGGACTTGTGTTTTCTTTGGCCCCAGCTTTATTTAGTCTTTTATCATGAGGTTTTGCGAAATACAGCGACTGAAAATGTACCGTACGATGCATTTTAGGTTAAGAAGTTCAAGCATTGTTGTTTTAAAATCTAAAGCTTCCGCACTGAATAGATTTTAATATGAGTCAGCACCCAAGATTCAAAGTACAAGAGCTTCCATTTGGAGCGTTCTGTATGGGGAGCAATGGGAATAGAAAATGCAGAGATGCCATTTTTTTCTGCAAATAGCAGCTTATGCAGACCATAAGGTGTTGCAGCCACAAAACACAAGCAAGCAAGAAATAAACTTTTTCTTTACCCTCTTCTTGTCATTAACCCAACACTTTTGCCTGCTCTAAAAACATGTGTGCTCCACAGCTGGAAGCAACAATGTCCCACCTGCTTTTCTAGACAATGTCCAAGTGGAATGTCTTGTGGGATATGTAGGATTTGTTTTGACAGATTGGAGGGAAAAAGTTTTGCACAACCAGAAGCTGCATTGTCACAGATGTCATTTAACAATGATCCGCAAATGTGCATCACATTTAGGCAGGAATTAAATGCTTGTACTTACCTAGAACAGTCAGGTAGGCTTTGGCTGTTCTGACAGGCATGGTGAAGAGAGAACAGGTGTACATGCCTTCATCAGACAGCGTGGCATCAGTGATACTGATGGTTAACTCCGAGAACGACGCACGAATAAGCTCGATCCTGTTGTCCCTTAAAGCTGGAAGACAGAAACAGACAGAGACAGATAGTTACCACACGTGCTGACACATCAGGAAAGCAGCAGCCGTGCCAACTCCTATAAACTGATCACAGGGGTAGTATTTTAATTTATTTCATACAGTGTGATATTTAGCAACAGTTTTGTTGTTTAGTTCTTTTTCTTGCATTTTTTATAACGTACTTCGTAAAAGTAGTTTATACAAATGCCAATTCTATATGTCTATATGCACTGGGGATTTCACTACACAGTCAAAAAGATGGGAAGAAAGACAGAGAGTGAAAGACTGAGAGAAATCAGAGCAGCAGGAAATGGCAAAACAGAAAAGGGAGATCAATGGTATGTTAATATTTTGGAGTCTATTATCTGATGCCAAACATATGTATATTGTTAAAGCAACAACAGAGTACCATCCTAATGAGATAAACACACCAGAGAGCATCTGAACTCAAACCTGATTCTGTGCTTACAGGGAGGCTTCAAAATACGAGCAATTCTGCTTTGAGCACTATTTACAAATGCGCTAAGCGTGGCCTAACCCGTCCTCACAATGAAATTTTGCCCATTATCTTGAACGCTGATGTTTGGTATGATTTATGCCAATACCATCATGTGCTTATTTTCATTGTTTACTCTGAAATAAAATCAGATTCGCAGTAGGCACACCATGCTATGTAATGTAAATAATATATGTATGAATTGATTTAAATGCATAGACAATTGGATAATTTTGACCTTAAAGCGGAACTTTCTGCTCAATCTCAAAATGAATGCATCGGCACACCTCGATGGTAAACCGCACTCCTACAGTTTTTCTATGCTGGAAACCGTTGTAGACATTTACTTATATGAAAATGTAATCTTCTAAAAGATATAACGGAATGGAAATCAATACTGCAATAACAGGCGGAGAGAGGCCTAATGAGAATTTGGCAAGATATGAGGGTTTGAAATAGATTTGCTGAGATTGTATGGCCAGTTGAAAGATACTTCACCGTTCTTCAAACCAGACTTTAAACTTCATATTTGTGATACAAGCTGGAGCAGTGGCAGAGATTTCATAATGAGGTGAACACCTTGAAAATGACATGACTGTTGCGTCTAAGGCGTGCATTGTGAGGTACAAAACAAAACCGCATAAAAGACTGGTTTGCACGTTATGAAAAGACCATGTCAATTGTTGAGCGTGCAAACATTTCTTTCATGCTGTTTCTGAGGCCTTGGCGACTCAAGAGGTTGATTCAAGTCTTCCCTTTCCAAGTACAATGCTTCTCTACAAACCTTTTTAATATGAGCAGCCAAAGCGACTTTGCTTTTAATCTCCATGAAAGTGACTCGGAACTCACCTTGTTCAAGTTGAGTCTGTGTGTGTGTGAGTGTGTGTGTGTGTGTGTGTGTTTTGGTTCAACAGAGGAGAAGCATGATTAATCCCCACTAACCCACATAAATCACATGACTATATTTCAAACTACAGTGCAAAACCACTGCATATCATACACTTTATCAAAAAAATATAACAAAATATACAAACATATTATATAGTACAAGGATGCCAACTACAGTATAAGCTACTTTGAAAATTGTACAGACATTATCACAGTTTAAAATGTAACCGTACTACCATATTCTGAGTCATATGTTTGATCAATCAGTGCCATTTGCTGGAATTATTTGTCTGTCACTGCTATCAGATACTGGAATTATAACTGATAAGATACACAGATCAGCCACAACAATGAAACCACTGACAGGTGAAGTGAAAAACAATGCTCTGTTGGGAAAACCTTGGGTCCGGGCACTCATGTGGATGTCACTTTGAGATGTACCACCTACCTAAATATTGTTGCAAACCAAGCACTTACCCATATCAATAACAGTGGTACTCCCTGATGGCAGCAGCCTCCTACAACACAACAATGTGCCCTAACACGTTGCAAAGACTGCTCAAGAGCTGCTCGAGGAACAGGACAAAGACCCCAAAGCATCAACCTGGTTTCCAATCGCTGAGGTCCCACCCTGCAGCCCTGCCAATGTGCTGGTGCCAGACAACACAGGAGACCCCTGGAGGTCAAGTGTCCATGCCCAGATAGTTCAGTCTTTTGGCAGCATGAGAGAAAACCTACACAACACTGGCTTTAATGTTGTGGCTGATTGAAGTATTTTAATAGTTACCGATAAAGATACAGGCCAGGCCTTTATCAAAATCTTTAGGAAACACTACTGCTCTCTCCCTATTTAAAAGATCACCGTTAAGAAAGGGTATTCTTTTTGCTGAGAGGCATCCCAATATCAAAAGAGGATTCATAGGAAATAAATGCATTGCTGTAAACTCTTAGACCAGCAGTACAAGACAAACTTGACATCTGAAATGAAAAGATATCCTCCAGAACCGAAACTAATTCAAACAATTCTTCTAGGCACAACAAAGAACCCCTGCTTCGCGAACATGCAAACATTAGCCATGGCAACCCATCTCAAGTTTGAGAAGTCTAAAGGAAATATGTTTTCTGCACAAAATGTTACTATTATCCACAATATACCGTATGCATTCAGAGAATTTAATTGCTGGTTTTTATACATTCTAATCTATTAGTTAAAGAAGTGCTCAAATTGCCATGCAAGCTGTTTAGAGAAGTGAGCATCGGATGCTGCACAGACAATAATCTATACATATTGGCTACTGCGCCTTTGTAAATGCCAGACACTGGTAAATTTCAAGCCTTTCAGGTAACTGTGTAAGGAGGGGTTAGCAACACAAGCATTACTTTTTTTTTATGGCTTGTGTGTATGCATGCTGCAGTGATCACAGAACTGACAAATGTAGAGAAATGTCAGTGAGCTATCTCGTGTCATTTGGTCTGCCAAGGGATGGGACGCTTTGCTTTGCTGCTTCCAGGCTAAACACCTACAGTAAATGGCAACACAGTTGTAATCAGTTTGGCTAAACGACAGCTGCTCTCTCTCATTTACTACTGCATTTGTTCTGTCCCTTCCTGTTCCTCGCAACACTGGTTATCTCTACATGCTGTGCACTGAGCCTGAGCAGGCGTGACACGTTGATATAAGCACATGACATATCTTTATGCTTTACACTGGTGACAGTACATTCCCGTTTCTGTGTGTGTGTGTGTGTGTAACTACACATGGCTATCAATACAAGACTACAGAATTAGTTTTAGTCTAACGCACTGCCAGTTCAGTTAATGGTGAAACCTGTCCTGGAAAGATAGTTATGTTTAATGCCAATATGTACAGTGTGCACACAAATGTATATATTGTGTCCCGAAGAATAAACTAAGACAAAGAATACATTATTTGATCTGATTCTTGACAAATAATTCTATTTGCCTCTGTGTATCTTTCTGTCTTTCTTTCTGTCAGTTTCTCTCCTTCCTCCCACCTGCAGACCTCATTCTGTCTACTCAGGCACCTCTACTAACCCGTGAATGTGTACAAGTTAAACAATGCTTCAATTCAACTGTTGTCTTATTTGCTTTGGGCAAGAAAGTATCAGCCGGCAAATGTCAGAAAATACATTCACTGTTCCTGGCTCCCTAACTGTCGCAGTGCAACTCTGCCTTCGCTCTTTCTTCTCTTCAACATCCCATTCTCAAACGCTGCGAGAGATTGAGGGATGCAGATGGATAGATCTTCTGGTTTGTTGGTCTGCTTGAGCAAAAATAATGAGGACGTGAACTCAGCGACACTGCATTCGCACTTATAATGAAAGGGCTTAATTGTAAAGTGAACAGCTGAAGCAATTTGATTGAATAAGTGGTAATCAGATCTCAGAACTTCCAGTCAATCGTCACCTGTATGACACAGCAATGAACGCAGATAATTCAACACTCTGCTTCCAATGAATTTGAGGACTCTTAATTATCAATTCAGAATCAAACTTATTGCAAATCTTGAACTTCCGAATTTCATAATCCAATCATGCGTTTATGCATTTTTCAGTAGTTACAGGCAGAAAATCAGGATAGTTGTGATGCCAAAAAGCAGGATCATCCTGATACCCCTGGAAGGGTGGATTCGAGCTGGGTTTAGAAACATGAAAGGTGTTATATATAAGCATGAAATTGTAATATAACTGGTAAGGCTATTAATACAGAAAAAAACTGTGAAAAAATGACTTTGAATCAAATACCCCAAACCCTATAAACATAGTCCCACATCAATAGCGACACCAGTTAAATAATGCTGTTGCTAAGATGTTTATGTCTTGATTATTCTCCTCATTCAGACTCTGAATTTTGTTTATGAATTCGTAGAACTCTGACATAATTTGGATGTATCCTGAAATCCAAGACATAATAGGGAACCAGTATGAGGGAAAACACGCTCTTTGAATCACCCACTTCAAGCAAAGCGGTACAATACAAGACGAGAGAGACGATCCATGTAAAATGTGTGGAAGAAGCCAAAGAACGTCAGAGGACAAAGGCATTGGAACTGGTTTCCCAAGGAGTCTGGACAAAGTGGGACCCACCAAGCACAAAATAGGCTGAATGGGTTGACTTGCTGGAGTTGGATCCCTTCCGATTTTCCATCAGACACCATTCCATCTTCAGCAAACCTGCACAGGCGATATTTGAAAAAAAAAAAAAAAGACCCACTGTGCAAGCTCTGTGAAAAGAAAAGCACCTTGGCCGGTGTCCTGTCAAGTTGCAACATGTCAGTCATCTGAGGGAGATATAGTGCTCCCGGCAGGAGCAAATATCTCAGAACAGGAGGGATCCATGAAGCAAAAACCCATGAGGCACAAGGACCATTCATCAAGTTCATCAGCAAAAGGGAGAGACCATTTTCCTCAAGAAAAACTAATAGCAACATTTTTCAGAAAGCAAGAAGAGAAGCAGGAGAAGAGTTTGGACTGGGTTGAAGTGAGCTGGAGGCCAGGAGCTGATGTGGCCAAGTTATTGCCCACCACATCCGACCAACACTTCAATGTTTTGAGACCTACGAGCTGACTCTAGAGAGCTTTAAGACCTTTGATA